TCGTTGCTGTTCTGCACATTGATTGTCAATGTGGCGGTGCCCGTGAGACTGGGCGTGCCCAGATCGGCCGCCTGCACCTGTAGGTGATATGTGTTGCGCCTGTCGTAGTCGAGTTTGCGGGAGACAAACACCTCGCCAGTGCGCTCATCAATGTCGAAGTCATTGAARCTGCCCTGTTGTATGCGATAGCGTAGCTCCGCATTCTTGCCCGTATCCAGATCGGTGGCCTGCAGTTTCTCAACGCTGGTGCCGATCTCCGAGTTCTCTTCGACGACGGCACTATAGTTTTGCTGCTGGAAGTTGGGCACATGGTTGTTGACATCGCGCACTGTAATGTTGACGCCGCAGTTGGCCGTGAAGAGTCCATCGTTGGCTTCGACCACAAATATGAGCTGCTCGCTCTTCAGATTCGTTACATCCAGGCTGGCATTGGGGCGTATGCTGATCTGGCCGCTTCGCTTGTCAATGTCAAAKATGCTCTCGATCTGCGGTGAGCCAATAATCCGGTAGCTAATGCTGGACATTGTGTCCGCATCGCGCGCCTTAACAACCAGGGGCGAATCAAAGACCAGGGAGCCCTCATCCACACTTGCCCTGTAGAGGGGGCTCTCACATACGGGCGGTGAGTCATTGGCATCGCTCACTGATATCCGCAGGGAGACCACAGAGGTCTGACCTTGTCCATTGTCGTCGGTGGCCTGCATAGTAATCAAAATAAAAATCAGATTGTGTGAGAAATATATCGATAAGAGATTTTCACAAATGGGGTCACTTGAATACCCTGAAGTTGTTAATTCATCTGCTAAAAATAATTAGTTCGACGTTTTATGCGATCCCAATTAGTATATAAGTAGGTTAGGTACTAGACCTTGAGCATTATATGTTTTCACTTCTTAGAGAAACACCTAACGTTTCATATCGAGCATACATTTTACATTTTTAGCTAATAATATTTCCTTTAATACAAATTTAATTTAAATTAATAGATTTTGTTGACTTTTTGTTTTGAGTTGAAAGTAAACCAAGTGTGATACATTAGTATATACATCACATTCTGCTCTCCAATTGCATCACATAGTTAAGTGCCCCAATAAAAGCCCACGAAATTCATTGTTTGTCAACCTCTTCCCACACCCACCTTGTATGACAAGAAGTACGTGGTCTCCGTTTCATAGTCCAGACACGTCGCCGGCGCCTTGCTGCTGGCGGCTTTGTCATCATTAGCAGCTGCCGCCGCTACCGCTGATGTTGCCGCTGTTCCCGCTTCTGCTGCTTCTGCTGCTGTTGCTGCTGTCTCCGACTGCAACGGCGCCTGCGTGATTAACGTGTATTGCACGGTGGGCTCTGTGTTAATCTGTCGCTGGTCGAGGCTGTGTTCCGCCTCCATGGAAAGCATTTCGAGTGCGTGACCATCGCTGTCATTCTCATGGAGGTCACGTCGCTGGCGCCTGTTGCTTTCGCTCTGGCAATCGCCCAGGGTAATGACGCCCGTTTGCTCATTGACATGGAACAGCTCGGCGCCAGTGCCGGAGAGGCTGTAGCGTATCCCTGCATCWCCGAAACTGCTCGAGTCCACATCCTTGGCGGTAATCGTAGTTATGTACTGTCCGGGTAGGGCTGCCTCGGAGACTGTGGCCGAGTAGCTCTCCTGCTCGAAGCTCGGCTTGTTGTCATTAGCATCCAGCACACTTACAGTTATGGTTGCTGTGGAGGATAGCTTGGGATTCGTTTCCGTCTCCTCCGCAATTACCAACACTATGAACTTCCGCTGATTGGGATTCTCGTAGTCCAGAGTCCCATTGGCAACACGTATGTTTACCTGCGAGTAGCCAGTGACTAGCTTAGGCTCCACGTCGAACACCCCGGACACATCCTCTAAGCGCAGCGCAAACTTCGAGTTGATGCCCACATCGGCATCACTGACACTCATGTCCAGGGCCAGTGGAGTACCCTCCGGGGTGTTTTCGAGCAGCGACACATCGTATTCCTTCTTATTAAATTTGGGTGGAGAGTCATTCACATCACGTATGGTCACTGTAGCTCTGGCTGTGGCACTGGTCAAGGGGTCATCACTAGGCACATCATTCACCACCTCGCGGGCCCGTACCACCAGTGAAATCAAACCAGTAGAATCTGTCAGTGCCTCACGATCTAAGGGCTTCGCGGTGCGAAGTTCGCCACTGTTTGCGTCCAGCAGAAAGTAATCATTGGGATCTGAATGGATTTAGAGAGACGAAATGCAATCATGAAACGATAGATTGAGTTAAGATCTCATAAAGAATGTCTTCGGTCTACTCACTGCTCAGCAAATCGTAGACAATTTTCCGTGGTTCGCCCTTGTCACCATCACGAGCCTGAACGGTGAGCACCAAAGTGTTGATGGGACTGTCCTCGTCGATGACTGTTGAAAGGGATCGCTGAAACACTGGCGGCTTATCCTGCACATCCTTGACGCGTGCCTCAAAAGTGGTTTGGGTTTTGTGCACTCCATCGCTTGCCTCGATTTGGAAATGATAGATCATGCGCTGGTTGTAGTTCAAGGTATCGTTGAGCACCACAGCAGCCGTTAGGATAGTCGGCTCCCGGGTTAGCAATTGCAAATGGAATCTGCAAGGATTAGTTAGATTTAGCTCGATAGTTATCGTTAGTGTATGTCTGTGACTTACTTGCTGCACGCTTCAGGACTTTGCTGCTGTGGAACACATTTGAGATCAAGGCTGTCACCGATTGTGTCGCGATCCTTGACCAATATTTTGTCAAATATTGTGGTGCCAACAGCCGCATCTTCATTAACGTCCGCTTCATAGGGGGTCTATCGGGTAGTAAAACAAAAATAATGTTAAGTCTCACTATAAATCTCTGTGCTCCCATTCCAACTCACATTTTGAAACTCTGGCGGATTATCATTCTCATCCAGTATGATGAATGTAATAGGTTGTTCCACCACATTGTCCTGYTCGGATTCGCCGTTTGGRTCCACACGATCTCTGATCGATACCAAAAATGTCAAGCTATCCGTTTCCTCGCGATCCAATGGCTTAATCAGTGTTATATTTCCAGAAATTGGATCCACGCTGAAATGATCGGAGCCAATGGAGCCAAATGTGACATTGCTCTCCTCAGGATCGTAGCCCTTTAATCGAAAGACCACTGAGCCCACTGGCTTATTCTCGTACAGCACAATATTGTTGAGTGTTTGTGTAAAGACAGGTGGCAAATTTGTCTCAGCTGCAGGAATATTAAAGGCTTTGTTATAGCTTAGTCCATTTGGTAAAATTTTTTGTACAAAAAATACATACAGCTGACTAGGTCCGATGCCAGACAGATTATTAACAGCGTCAGCGTCCACTTCATTTTGTCGACTGAAAATGAAAACAAATGTGTGTGTTTTTTTTATTTAGGGGAGGTAGCATATAAACAAACTAAGCCAACAGATTTGCCAAATTACAAAATAAGAGAAAGAGAGAAAAGGAATGCTGTTTGCTTGTTTCCACTTTTGGATTTGCATTTTTTCGGCCATTTGTTGCGCAAACAAACAACAAAGATAAATTAAATTTCATGCTGAAAATTCAATTAGCTGACAACACACAACAGGAAGGCGCGTGCTATGCTATAGTAGGGCGAGCAGGGCGGGGCGTCGAAGGGGATAAGCGAGTGGCGTCAACAACAATGGCCATAACAATATAACGATGCTGATGACAAGCAACAAGACAACAACAACAACAATAACAACAACAAAGGCCAGCAAACAGCAAGCAGCAACCAGCAACATTGTTCCAAATTGTGCACTTTAACTGGAGCTGAAGTCCGGGAGTTCGGGACTCGGGCATTGGGCATTGGGCATCTGCCGGTAGTTGGCCGCTTAAAGGCGCCAACGTTTTTAATGTCCCCGGCACGCACGACCGGAGCTTTGTGCATGAGGACCCAGCCTTAAAGCGTATCTTCCAACA